TCCTTCCTCCCCCGCCTGGGAGCCGTGGCCGGCGCGGGCGGCGCGGCCGGGGTCAGCGCCTCGCCTATTGATCAGCATCCCGCGGTCCCCTGCTCCAGCATCTGCTCCGCTGCCCGCTCCCCGCGCCTGCTGCAGCGCATTAGAATAGAAATCCATAACCAGAGCTGTGCTCATCCAAGCAGGGGAAGAAACTAAATTAAATGGTATAAAACAATCTTGGATCAGGAGTTTGCGCCAATTCATCTTGATCTAAGGTGTCACAGCGGGCTCTGACTGAGCACCTGGGCTGAAGGCGGCCGCGGGAGGCGGGGGGGTTTTTCGCTGGGGTGGAGGGGCTGGATGCAAACGTTCGCCGGAGCTGGGCGGCTGCAGATGGCGGGAGCGGGATAAGCGATTGCCGAACAATTACAACGGTTACATCTTCGGCTTTGTCTGTTACAGCCCATTTTCATCCTTTCTCCGAAGGCAGTTACTATTGATTTTTTTTTTTTCTTTCCCTTTTTTTTTCCCCCCCTCCCTTGCCATTGTTGAGCTTCCCGTTGTTTTTCTCTCCCTTTTGGCTGGCGCGGCGCCGTCACAGCCGCGGTGCCGTTGCCTGAACAAGGATGGGTCTCTAACATTTGGTTAGCTTTCCTGGAGGCAGCGTTCCGTTCCCCATCGCGCCACGTGAATGTCATTAGCAGAGAGGGGCGTACGGTGGTGCAGCTCGCTAATTCACCCCTCGTTAATCTACGAGCCCGATAAGTCTCATTGAGTGCCAGGTGGTGCCTTCCGACGCCGCGGCAGAGGTTTAACAGCAGCGTGCTGTGAGGGCTCCGTTATTTTTGCGGAATATACGGTAGGGCGTTTGCTAGCACGCTCTGCGTTAGCGTTGCAGGTCAGCTCAGAGGCTGGAGCTGGCGTTTTTATTCCAGTTAATTTCTTCGAAGGTTTTGTTTCTTTACTCCAAAAAAATACAACTTCATCTGCGTAGTGAGATTAAAACCCCCCGGGCCATAGGAGGCTAACGATGTAAAGATCCATTTTGTTTAAAATTCAGAATACAGTGAGGTTTTTTCACCGGTTTTACAAATGTTTGTTAAAATACCGTGGGTAACATCTCGGGGTGCAAACCCGCTGGTCTGTCCAATGCCGTATGCTGTTAGCTAAATGCAGTAGGAATCTGAACGTGATGATGGATCCTAAACCAAAAAGATGCTTTTATATAATGCAAATAAGTTCTCTTAAAAATCCATCTTCTTTAAAAAAAAAAAAAATCCCAACTTGTTACGCAAATTTAAAATTAAGAAGCGGCAAAGCAAGAAGCACCCCTCACAAAAAGCAGGCAAACGCAGAACGCACAGAATCCCGGCATGGCAAGGGTTGGAAGGGACCGCGGGAGATCGCCCAGCCCTACTCCACGGATCTTCCATCGGCTGAACAAGTCACACCATGAGATGAGGCGGTTTTCTGGCAGCTCTGTTTTGCTGTGAGATTTGGCGGTTGCTGAAGGGTGGGGGTCACTGAAGGTGGACCTTGCAGTAGGTGGTGTTTAGCTTTTTATTGGATGTTGTCGGTTTTGAGATGTAAAATGGAATCTTCCCCAGCAGCCAAAAATCCTGGTAAGGGCAGCAACAGTCCTGAAGGTGTGATCTAAACATCTTCCATTTTCTCTGGGAAACGTGGTGATGTTTGGAGTGCTAAAGAACAACCCTGCCTTTGATTTTGCTCATCTCTCTTACCTTTAATTTCAGGTTGCCTGTCTGGTCTCCCGCAAATGAAGAAAATCTCTACGTCCTACGAAGAGAGACGGAAGCAAGCCACGGCCATCGTCCTGCTGGGGGTGATCGGGGCAGAATTTGGAGCTGAAATCGAACCTCCAAAACTTCTCACTCGGCCACGTAGTTCCAGTCAGATTCCCGAGGGATTTGGGTTGACTAGCGGCGGATCAAATTATTCCTTGGCAAGGCACACGTGTGAGTAACCCAGGACGCTCTGGTGTTTGGGGCGGGGGGGCGGGCGGGAAGAGGTGTTAGCTACATTTCAGTACGAAACAGATCAGTTAAAATATCCTTTTGCTGGAAGAGGTAACGACCGGGAGTTTGGGGCGTACGATAAGCACCGCACCGGTAAGAGGCTGCCAAGAAGCCAGTGCCGATGGAGAGCAGTGGAGCTGGTGACGGGGTGCAGGGTTTGCAGTGGTGCTGCTGGGAGGGAGGCACTGACCGCCGGGGAGAACCAGCCTGGTGCTTCCTGGCATCAGCCGGCTCTGCTGCTGAGGGTCTGGCCCCCTTCGTTCTCCTCCGGTTAAACCCAAATGCTTGCATTTAAGGCTGCATTTATGTAATTCGTTCTTGTTTGGTTCGTGGTTTGTTTTTTTTCTTTTTGAATCCCAAAAGCATTCCTCAGGCTGGTGGAGAGAAGGGGAGGGGACGGTCAGTGCTAGTCCTGCCTCTTCCATCGGCTGATCTTCACGCTCAGCAGGCGGTAGGCCTTGCTCTTGGTGGAGTGGTTCCCCTGGAACTGAGCACTGGCAAGCTCGCTTCACGCGTGCGGCTGAGGGGGTGGCTCAGCAGGCTACAGAAAAACGTGGCCGTGAGGAGAGATGAGGGCATGGGGAAGCATGCAAGATGGCTGATGGGAAAATCAGAATGGTCCACTTAATAGACCAGGTTGGACGGGGCTGTGAGCAACCTGATGTGGTTCAAGGTGCCCCTGCTCCTGCAGGGGGGTTGGGCTGGGTGACCTCTGGGGGTCCCTTCCCACCCAAAACATTCTGTGATTCTATGAATAGAAAATGGTGGAATTCAAGGTGTTACATTCTGGTCCTATATCAACATTAGTACTGCAGCGTTGATGTAATTCTCCTTAGTATGGACAGTAAAGGTGACCTTACCTAAGATGGTTGCATACCTATGCGTTGACCACTCGGTGTTCACATTGCAAAATCTAACAGAAGCAAATGCAGCTACAGTGCCCTGGTTCCTACAAGCCTTTGGGCCAGGTCCCTGCTGGTGTTTGGTTTATGTGCAGCCTGGCAAAAGCCCCCTTTGTCCTCTCCGTGAGATCTCTCTGATGCACTACTGACTCGTTGCCAGTATTGCCTGAAAATTCATCCACATCTGCTCAGCTGGAGCCTGATCCCCAGCAGTGGCGCACTCCTCCTGCACCATCAGTCTCTGCCCGATGCCCAAGTGCCTTTGAGGAAAAGTGAAAAAAAAAAAAAAAAAGAATCAAAAACCAGCGTAGTGCCTGAGCTCAGAGCTCCTAGGGGAGGACCGGTAGTAGTGATGGGGGGCTGCCCTTCCCTGGGGCGCCCGGCTACGTGGGCTGCGCGCGCTTACCTCCGAAGAGCGCTGCTCAAACCTAGAAGGGATTCGGAGGAGCGCTGGCTGTCTCGCGGAGCAGCGTTCTGTCCGTTTAGCACAAGAAGCCTTGAGGGCCTTGCCTGAGGACGTGCTCTGTAGTGGTTTGGTTTTGTGTGGCTCTGCTTGTACGAGAGAGCGGTCTCACTCCAGTGTCTGTATCGGGCTACAAAGGCTTCTGCTCGGAAAAGGTGCAAAATTTATTCTGGTTTTTGTTCTAGCCATTTTTTACTCCAACTCATTTTCCTATAAATTCTGCAGATAATGAGTTTCATGTGATGCTAACCTTTATACTTTTGTTTTAATGAAGTGCAGGGAACATGTGCCTTTTTAGTTACAGGGTAATGTAATTCCGTAGCAATAATAGGTAAACACAGCTTAATTACTGTACTTATAGGCTAAAGATACTGCAGACCGTTCCCTTCTGCTGGGGCCTGTGGGCACGCGATGGTGATAAATTCCCCCAGCCCGCGGGGAGCGGCCCGTTGCCCACGCCACCCTGAGCCGTGGCCAGGAGGTGCGCGGGAGGCGCTAGCTGGCACTCACCAGCGCCGAGCTAGCAGCCGTTTCGGCTAAATTGTAGAAGAACGTGTTCAGAAGCTCAAGAACATCGTGGAGCACCGCTTAAGTCCCTGGTGTAGGCGCAGCCTCCGTCTTCCACCGCTTGCCAGATGGTCAAAACCCATCTTCCATGGAGCGTGGTGGTGCTTGCGCTGATGCTTGAAAGGCGAAGGGCAGGCTGGTGGAGAGGGCACGCACGCCGCGTCTGACCAATGTGCGGTCCTGGCTGTGGCGGCGTGGAAGGGTAGGGTTGGCTGTGCAGCACGTCACAAACCCGCTCGTATTCCTGAGAAGCCTCGGGAAAGGCTTGCTGGGTTTTTTTTTTCAGCTGACATCTTCATAGAACTCGTTTGCAGATCCCCAGCTTTAGCAGACGGGAGTATTCTGTCAGCCCGTTGTAATCTGAAATAAGTCTGGCAGTGCTCTGCTTCCTCTTCCCTGGGTGTCTTGCACATACACAGAGCTCTGCTTTCACTGCCTGTTTGGGGGCTTCTTTCTCGTTTTTAACTGGGATTACTGGACAGGTATTTTGCATCTTTATTTGGTTTTGCGTGTGTTCTGCATTATTGCCCAGTTTAAGTTTCTGAGCTGTTTGTCTCTTCAAACCATATCAGGAAAGGAAAGGATGGAGAAGACTTTGCCGTGCCTCCGGGTCAGCCAGCACAAGGGATCCTAAGCTGGACAAAACAGGTTCTTCCCTGGTTTTCTCTGGCAGTGCAAGGCTGAGTCAGGCTTCTTATCCTTCCAGGCTGATACCTGGGGGCACAGAGGCAAAATAAGCTGGGTTTGTCTTTGAGTTGCCTAAAGTAAGAGGATGCGGACACCTTCGTTAGGCTGAAAGCAGCGCAGAGTGCTCTGTGCGTTGTTTGGAAGCTCGGTGATGGTGCAGAGATCAGCTTTGGCCTTCCCCAGTCCTCCAGCAGCACGCTCCATAAGCGAAGTCAGCTTCATTTATGCTTTGCTTCCAAAGGGCTACCAAGCCTAACCTTGCCCAGCCAGGACAAGAGGCCATGGGCACAAACTGAAGCAGAAGAGGTTCCAGTTGAACGGGAGGAAGAACTTGTTGACTGTGAGGGTGCCCGAGCCCTGGCCCAGGCTGCCCAGGGGGGCTGTGGAGTCTCCTTCTCTGGAGATCTTCAACCCCCGCCTGGACGCTGTCCTGTGCCCCCTGCTCTGGGTGAGCCTGCTTGGGCAGGGGGGTGGCACTGGGTGAGCTCCCGAGGGCCCTGCCAGCCCTGGCCAGGCTGGGATTCTGTGAAAAGAAGTGGGATCATTTCCAGCAGCAGTGCCTTGCCTCCGCCGTTCTCACAGGCGTATAGGTCTGACGGCGCTTGGTGGTGGTGCTTTGTCAGAGCGTGGCCGAGATGCTTGGGCCCATCCTTGATCCTCACGAGTTCTTCCTTGCGGTATCTTTGTTTATCTGTTTGTGAGCTGTTTTTTTAGCAGAGTTCTAAACTCCAGCTTTGAACTCCTATTGCTCATTATCGCAGAACGACTGCACGACCGTCTGGCTGACCGATGGCTCAAAACTCAGCCCTTAACGTAGATGGAGCTTGACTTGCTAAAATGCTGAAAATCTAGATCAAGGCTGTACAGTAATACCTGAAATGGATGAAGAGCCAGAGGAAGATCAGAAATAAGGGCTCGCTGGAGTTAAACAATACAGAAGGGCACTGGGTTATACTTTGGGTTGTTGGTGGCATTAGCAGTAAATTTGATCTTTTTCAGCACGTTTTGCGTACAGCCCTCGCTGTAAGGGTTTGGTGAAAGTCAGCATTGCTGGCCTGGCCTGCCCGAACCCCCAGCACAACCTCCTGTTCCCACAGGGGGGGGGGGTTGCTCTTTTCTCAGCTATTTTGCTCAGGTCGAGGAAGTCGGATGGGAAAACGCAGTCATAATGGCAATATTTAATTTCTTCACATCTGGGTGTGTTTGTTCATGTGGAGAGGCTTAGGAAGCCTGGGAGGGGAAGTTCAGGCTGTCCTTGGTGGCAGGAGTAATTACCTGAGGGGGAGGGGGCAGAGAACACTAATGAGCTTTGGGGATAATGATTTGCTGGAGTCGGAAACAGTCCTCCGTCCTGACCGGGAGATACGTGTTACAGGCACCCTGACAGGGCGCACAGTCACCGAACGGCACTTTTTCCCCCTAATATGCCATTTTCCCAGGGTTTTAGAAGTATTGCATTTCTTTTGGAATTTTTTTTTTTTTTTTTTTTTTTTTTATTTGGTAGGCCTGAAGTATTTTTAAGCTACACTCTTTGAGTTGGGGAAAATTGGGAAAGTCTTTGGAAATTTCTGCGAGATGAACTCCTCGTCCTCTTAGATTAATGGGCTCATAATCTGGGCCATGTCCAAATCCCGACGTGCCAGTACCTCCGGCAGCAGGTACAGTGTGGCATTAGGAACAGCTTAGTTTTGGGTCGTTTCCACTACCTCCACCTGCGACAGGTCTCGCCTGGAGCAGGTTCTTCGGAAAGCCGTGAGGCAGGAGCCGTTTGCGGTTGGAGGTCTGCTCTGCTCTCATGTCAGCCTGGTCCCAGCACAGCTCCGAGGGGATTGCACCCCGCCGGGTGCCCCAAGGGGGGCAGGACCAGCAGAGACTCACCGAAAGTATCGCTTGCCAGGAAATGCTGTTCTCGGGATGGTTTCTCCTTCTGTGATCGCACTTGGTAGAAGACGTTCTCATCTTTACTCCACACGCATAAATACTGCAGAAGGAATTACTTTGAGAACCGGACGGTCGTTCAGAAATGCAGTTCTTTGAACAAGAAAAAGCAAAATTCCTAGTATGCGCTCAGACTGATGTTTTTTTCTTTTTGGTCTGTGTCCTATTATGGCTTTCGGGCACCGTGGTAAAATGCATGCAGTTATTTCTTTGTCTTCCAGTGGCACGGAAAATATTTTTGGCCTTTGAAAGCAGATGAAGAGTTGATAAGGTGTGGTGTGGTCTTGTGAGAGCTGGCGCTAGGACGCAAGTGATGTAAGCAACACTTGGATGAAGAAGTTACTGGGTTTCCTCCATTTGACGTTACTTGGCGCGCTGGGTGC